TATGCATAGATAGACTACTATTAGATACCTAGTTCACAAATGAACATTGTACTAGATTGTTTTGTTCTTTTATTATTTACACCAAAAGAAAAGATGTTTAGTCAGAGAATTATTATTTCTTTATTTAAACATAGTTAAGTTAATTAATTCCTATGAGTTTAAACGATACAGTATGTAACATAGTGTTTGTTTTTTTGAAACATTGATACTCATTCTATATAAAAACTCTTGTTTTTATAAAGAAACAACAAAGAATCTGCTTGGTTTTTAATCTTTTCAGATCAGATTAAAGTGGAAAGATTAGGTAAATAGATTTAAAATTCTTTACACATTTCATATGTTTAAGTAAACATTACTTTCTCTTCATATTACTTAAATTTAACAGAAGGACCGACTGGTGTGGATTTGAATTATTCTATTGTTGGTAACCCTTACGAATAATGATTTAAACAGTATACTTGTTGAATAAGTTAGTAGTTATCTGGATTCACTAGTAAAAGGTACAGGGTTCGATTCCCTGTATGGACGTCAACAATGGGATACAGATATACTCAGCTGACGAGTCGTACATCCTGGATTCTACTACGAACAACAATTCATCTATTCTTTAGAAGGGACTGACTGTGTTTAAGTGCTAGTAAAGTAACTGTGATTGGTTTTCATTTATCAAACATTAAAGGAAATTGTGTATTGGAATACCAAAGCTTTTTGTATTTTTCCTGTTTTATAACTGTCAGTTTCGATTAAATTAACTTGCACAATCTTTATTCAATGTCCAGATCATGCGTTATGATTCTGAAAACTTATTTCCGGAAGTTATGGTAACATTTTGTCTACAAGATCTAAACTTAGATCAAAGGCTTTCCATCTATTAAATCCCGATATTTAACATTGAATGAGATTTATCTAGCTTCACCACAATACATAATTTAGTTAATAGACTTTGATGAATGCTAGAAACCATAAATTGAAGTTAGTTTCTGTCTGATATCCCATGCTTGTTAGGGTTTTCACTTGATCTCGATTTTTCTAATGGATATGTGATACGCTAAAAGAACTAATTTTTACTGGTTTGTATGCATGACAGTGTTTTCTTATAAAGATTGGGAAGGATGAAAACAGTGATTTTTCAACGTTATTAGTTCACATAATTGAATAAATAGTGTAGTTCACTTTAGAATAGGAAATACTGCTTTAAAGACATATTTATTCTTATACTCAGCCTGATTCATACATCACTTTAAAAAAAACTTGTAGACTGATATTCTCTCAAACAAAATCCTCTACCCAAAGAAAGTGAATATATTTTAGATAAGTCTGAAGCGAATATTTTGGATGTTTATTGGGTAACAATCGAAAATTAAGTTCAGTAGCATTAAGCAGTTTCAAACAACGATAAAACAACTGTCAAGGTCCCCATTTGATTCTCAATTATTCTAAAGCTGATGTTAGTCCATGATGTTATAAAGTTTCTGAGATATTGCCTACTACGTAAAATTGCAATATTTATTAGGAATACTAATTAAAATACTTGCACATTTTATAAGTTTGGAGTCTAAATGAAGACTGATATAAACTTATTTATTTTTTGTATTTTAAGCTTGGTAATTCACTTATCAATGTCTCATCCATCTACCGTTACAAAGTTATACCTACTTCTATTACACTAACAATCACTCCTAATATAACCAGACTGTTTTGTTGATAGGAAACCAGTTATGCTCAAACTCTAATTACTGATCAAAGTCTACTAATTATCGGATATAATTTAGACACCTAGTAAAGTAACATAAGATAATCCCTTTCGATTTCAAGCACTATACGGTAAATATAATTAAACTTGAAGTGATAACTAGAAACGAAATCCCAGATGCGAGTATCGTCTTTTTCGGGACTCTTCACCTGGATGCATAGATACTCGAATACAGTCACTATCGCTTTAAATATTAGGACGTTATCTATCAACCTACAAATTCATGGTAGCCTTCATTTATTCAAGATGTGAGGTTAGTTTGATTCCCTCAATAGACATTTATTCTTCGGAATAAACAGTATTTCATGAATTACATTTTAAATCTTAAATCCATATATAAAAAGATAAATCAGATAAATTATTAAAGTTGAGCAAGGCTATCTCAGATCACAAGTGGAACAAAATAATCATTGATGACTTTAAAACCTTTAAGATTGTCTTTTTTGAGGTGGTTTGCGTTCGTCGCCTCGAAGAAAAACATCCTACTTCTGGTATGATAAGGAAGAATCTAGGTATAAGAAAAGGCGCCGATAATTTACAACGTAGTTACTAAACTTCAATGAGTTCGATGTATGTTTCGCACTAATTACTTGAATAGTTTTAATAACATCGATAATAAACGGAATTCACACTAAATTTGATGGAAGTACAAAACATTTAACTTTATGACAAATAGTACGCTTTTCATAATATACAACATGACTGAGGACACACTCAAAGAAGGGTGAGAGTAAGGTCACTTGTGGTGTCATTGTAATTTATGCTTCAATTTGAAAGGTTCTATTATTGATGCAAATGTGTTGTATAACTCTGCACCTGTAGCAAATAACTTTTTAATAGCTATTATGTTTCCAAGTTCAGTTTGAGTAAACAACGCTCTCTCCGTATCATTTCTAGTAATCTTGAAAAGAATAGTTAAACCTGATGGAATTCATGTAGGCAGTGTGAAAATCGCCGAACATAAACCAATCCATTTTGTCCCACAAATACCATTGGTTATTTCCTTATTTTACTAAATATCTTTTCTTAGATATTTGTAATTTGCCTTGATCGTAACCTTAAATAATTGTGACAATTTGTGGAAATCTTAGACTTAAAAATGCAATAGTTTTACAATATCAAGTAGACTGATATGATTTGTTTCAAGGAAAGCATTAAAAACATCTGTATCGATATGAGCTATTATTCAAGTAGACGTTCAAGCTTTTCTGCATTTATATGCCTAATCATCACTTGTCTCCATTATTGCGGATTTACATTGTTTGAATCCAAAGTAAGGATGACTGCAGTTTCCTCTGATTTCAAAACCAATTTATGTTGCTAGCTAGAATAACGACTCATGTACAATAGGGCATCCATGATGACAACCGCAAGCGAGTGAGAAGGGAGATGAGACTTTAGGTAAATTTTTATGCCACATGCAAGAAAATTATATCGGTAAACATCATAGTATATTTAGAATTGTAAAAAATAAAGCACACAATAAGAGATGTGAATTAGGTCGCACTGCCATATTACAAAGACCACAAAGGTATAGGTGTGTGCAAAGGTCACAATAATACTAATCTCGGCCAATTGTAACAAAAACTGTGTTGCTCAATCTCTCAAGTTCATCTGTTTCCACTGAAATCTCTCTCATAAGTCGAAGCATAATTAGCTGTAGAATTACGATTTTTTATGGTTGAAGTAATAAAATGACCTAAGCCATACCATTATTGAAAACACTGGACGAGTATCTCTTGCTAATATGGGACTGTTCAGCATTGGGAATCCACTACCCCACTGGGAACCAAACCTAGGACCTTCACTCTCGCAGGCTACCACTTAGTTAATCTTAAGCCTAATAAGCAAATAACCATCTGGAAGGGCACAATTTGACCAATATACATAACTTATGTCAGTTCTACTCAATTACAATTATCAATGTAGTTGTTAATTGCATTACTGTTTGTCTAACAGTATGTTATCCTTGTGTTGCTCCGATTAATTTCAGTTGTTCTACAACCTGAAACAGATATTCACTATACACTTGCTAGTTCCACACTTACCAACTCCGGTTAACACATTTTACCAACAGCTGTACATTCATATAATATTTTTTAAAATATTTACCTGACACTTGAACATTCCCTCTAAAACATTACTGTTGATTTATAACTATAGAATCTGATAAGAATTCATCAAAAAGAATATTCATAATCCATATCTTTATGCTCTGATATTAAACGAATTTTTTAACCAATCTTCTTTTGACAATCAAGTCAGTTTGTCTAGTCTGTTATTAGCGCTGATGATGTTATCCAGAATAATACTAAATGGTTATTAGTTAAATCATCTAGCTCATGGAATACAATATTACTAAAACAAAATCTATGTGAATCGTAAGCTGATGCTTTGACATAACTCATATATATATATATATATATATATATATATATATATATATATATAACAACTATTTGGCTTAATATTGATTTGTAGTTAACAATAGAGTCCACAATGTTCGTTTCAATTTAATTTTGTCCAGTGATTATCTCTTAGTTTTAGTTATGTCTTGATCTTAAAATTCCAACTTGTTTACTTGGAAAAAATAATGAAATTATCTTTACATATGAATAAAGTGAATTATCATTTATCGACGGTAATATTCTATTAGCTGAGTAAATGTAAATGTTGTTTAGAGTGGGAAACTGACATTTCATCTGTTTATAAATCACTATTAGAAAAACAGTTTTCCATTTTAATTTTAATTTGGGAGAAAAATATCGGTTATATTTCTAACATGTATATATTTCTAATGTCATAATATTATCCCCTAGTTTAAAACTACATAGTAGTAGTAGTGGTAGTGGTTGTAGTATCAGTAGTATTAGTTTTATATTCATATTTAATAGAGAGAGGTTTTGTGGACATTATAGTAATTTTAATAGTTGAATTCATCTGTCAATTAAAGCTAGACCACCATGGAAAACCTGGAAGCATTGGACGACCGTTTCGTCTTAGTATGGGACTCCTCAACAGTGCGAATCCACAACCCCGCCTCACGAGACTCAAAACCAGGACCTATCAGTTGAGGAGTCTCACAATAGGATAGAACGGCCGTCTAATGCTTCCAGGTTTTCCATAATGGTCTAGTCTTAATTGACCCATGAATTCAACTATTAAAATTCATATTAAATAATGGAAATCAGTGAAATTATTCAACAGTTCATTAGCACATTTACCTTTCATTGAAATAAACAAAAGTTTCAACTAATATTAATTACATCACAATATTTATTCAAGAAGTTTAAATTTCAAATGATTTCGTATACGAATCTTAAAATTACATACAAAGGTTATTCGTTTGTTTTAAATTGTGTGTTCATCTTTATTTACTTTACTTATTTTTTATGCAAAAAAAAGAACAATCGAGAAACAAATGGAAACATGGAAATATGGAGTGAATAAATTACAATAAATGAGTAATAGAATAATAATAAAATGCAATACATATCCACACCAAATATATTTGTCATGTTTCTAATTGTATGTTAATATATTCGAATAAACATTACCTAATTTAACAGTAGTGATAGACTTTTTAATTATTATACAAAATGCAATAGGGAATAGATTATTATTTTCATTTAAAATTAATAACTAATTTAGTTATTATAAGATTGTAATTCCAGCTATTCTTGAAATATTAAACGTCGTTTATCCATTGAACAGTTTACTTATTTCGTTTCATTTAAACAAAACCTTAAAGATTTAATTGTCTCACAAATAAAATTCTCTTTATGCAAAAATAAACTTATTTTAATTTTCATTACAATCAATTCCGTCTATGAATTTAGATAAAGTTAAAACAAAACCAGAAAAAAAAATTGAGGCATTTGTAGAAGAAAATGAAGCAATACTATAATTTATATTTAATAATTAAAATGCTTTAATAGCTCTATTATCATCCCAACGTGATCTACTACTCAAAGGCATACTTCTCTGTTTCCATTGGCTACCACCGGAAAACAATGGTGGGCTTCGATTCCTTTGAGTGACTACATGAAAACGCATAGGACTTTTGTGATTTTGTTCTGTTTGCTTCCGTTGATACGAATGTGATTTTACTTGTCGAAGAATATCACGTAGTGAAGATTGGTAATTTTTTGAATTTGGTTGAATTATTCTGTTAATGATATTTAATTGAGGTTGGTGTACAATACGACCAGGTCGTACATGCCATGTACTACTTATACGTGGATTTCTTGAAGTTATTGCATTTTGCGATAGTAAAGGAGAAACTGGTCGCATAGTTGTATGTAGAGATTCTGCTGGTGATCTACTGTGACTTGAAGTTTGCTTAGATGAACGGGAATATGTTGTGTATGACGGACTGGATCTGAAAAGATTATTAGTAGCAGTTATAGTTGATGAACTTTTAGCTTGTGGATAGGTATAAGCAAATCGCCAAGGTAATTGGGAATTATCTCGATTAACAGGAAGTCTTCCATCGCGACGTTGATAAATATTATTTTGTGAGTAGATCATAGGATTTGTCTGTTGTATAGTTGATGAGTGTTTTACATGTTGATATGACGGATTATAGTTAAAAGGTCGAGTAGATTGATAATTTTCAGTCATTTCAGAACTACGCATATCACCAAAATAACGAATCCTTCCGGTGCCCCATGCTGGTGGAAATAAATAACGATTACCATGAAATGGTTGATATTGCTGTAACATTTCGTTTTTACCATAATAAACTGATGATGGAGATGATGATGAGGAAGATGAAGAAGAAGAGGAAGATGAATGAGATGGTATTTGATTGATTAACACTTGTGAATCGATTTCATGCTTCGGTAATTTAAAATCATATGGAATCATTTGATATTGTGCTTGAAAACCTTTACCACCAATTGTATCATCGCTAACAAACTGAAGATACAGTTGTCCAGAATTTGACAAAAATGTATTCGGTAACTTTGACAAGAAGAAAATAATATGAAGAAAAGACTAATAGTTTCATTTATTTGCATATCATAGATAATAACCAGCATAACAAACAAAATTGGAATATTGAACAGGTGTTTTGTATGGTTAGTGTTTTCCGCAAATGCAGAAACATTTAAATACTTGACAAAATTTCTTGAAGTAGATCTATTGAAATATGGTATCTACAAAATACTTTATTGCTTTAACTACGCAGTAATTTTATCTGCAAATCTATTCAGGATCGTCAATTCATTGAATAGATATTCAGGCCATTTAAATGTTGGTATTGAATATACTAGATGCTATATGGAAAACGTCGGCTGGTAATAAATGAAAAAAATTAAGTCAATATTTACTGTTGTACTTTACATTATTGGATCTTACCACTGAAAATCAAGAAGGATTAGAGTTCAATTTCGCCCTACTATAGGACTTCTCAGCATTCATGATTCTACCAAAGAACAAATCTTGGACCGGCAGGCTTCGGTACCAGTAACGAACTTTTGTATCACTAAGCTGTTATCCAATGGTTTATATTTATAACTACAGCTAATTTGTGATATCGCGTGACCATTGTTATGTTCAATTTTTTGAAACAAATTTCCACGAAATGGTACCAAAATCGTTACAACCACCACCACCACTACCATTACTAGTTCATCAACATAATCAGTTTAATTTTATCCAAATTTATTATTTTAATAGCAGTAGGAACCATTATTTCAATTGTTTCATGAACTGGTCATTTTCTGCATATATTTCATTTTCATCTCTTAGTGATAATATTGACAAGTTTAATGTTACTATTTATAATCATGGTAATAATAATAATAATCATGATTTTCTAAATATTCGAAACAAGCACTCATTTGACAACTGAGCTAATTTTTTTAGCATTCTCTCTTATAATATTTATTACTGTTGGTAAAGTTAGACAGGTAGATTCAGTTGATTATTTTTCCCAATTAATTGTTACATTTTAACTGGTGACAGGAAGTACCCCTGATAGAACGTATTTATGTTACCATTATCAAAAACCCCCTATTCGTATACTACTAAGAAAAACTATGATTGTAATATTAATTGGATTAACAGATTGACAAATGGGAGCTATTTATAATTTCATAGATTTATTATAAATATTTATTTATTTTTCGTCTTACTTTAGTTTCTGTGCCGTTTACATTGATTGCCATTGGAGATTGAATATAAAAATCGTCACTTTTTAAAAGTGTGTGAAGTAAATAATTGTCAATACTATTTTAGACTTAAAAAAAGTCGTTTGTTTACTTGTTTTTTTTGTGTGTGTTTCTTTCTTAGATCCTACTAAAAACAAACTTTTGATCTGAACACATTAACAATATGGTTAGTAAACTATTGAATTTATTATTCAAGCTATTTCGGGATTCAATACTAATGTGTGTGCGTGTGTGTGATTGAGACTTATAACTATAGTAGAGATTATTTGTCTAGTCAAATAAAATTATCACAATCCGAGCAATTCATTTAGACTATATTTGTAGACGTTGACAGAAATCATATGTTTTATGGGGGAAGAACTATTTTTAGCAGTGATTTGACAGTAGTCAAACTTATCAACAGAAATGATCATAGCAACTAAGATCAATTAACTAAGTAACCTGTTGGTCAAAACGATTAAACCATTAATATATTTTCTGAAAAAAAATGTACATTTTACAACATAATAATTTCCAACTAAGTGAAAATCTTGTGAAAACAAAAATTATGTAGTCTGGGAGAATGGTTACGGAATAATAATAGTTTTGAATGATTTTCCATTAAAATTTATGATAATTGATGTTTCGGCTGTTTAGATAAATCATAGCAGGGGTAATCAATGTACATCTCCAAGTGGTTGATATTCTCATTTATTTTCTATAGAAAATAAACCGATAAGCATTTTGGTTTCTGCGTGTGTGTGTGCATTTAATTGTTTGTGCACATGTATGTAAGCTCGTGTACACGTATTAGTGCCCATCTGAAATGATAAAACTTTTTCCTTTATTTAAATTGAATTTTCTGATTTTGCATATGCGTGCATATCTTGGGTGTGTGTAGGTTTACACCAATGTATTGAAAGAACATTGATAATAAAGAAAAGTTTAATAGAATTTATATTTAGACAACTTGTCTAAATAATATCAACAAACAGTCAAATTATACAAATCCTTAGTATATATATAGGATACACGTTCAACAAAATAATAGCATCTCTCATAGTGTTCCTGGAATGTTAAACAAAGTCATTTATGGTAGTAGTGGTAGTAGTAATAATAATAATTGTAGTAGTAGTATACCTCCACCAGTCAGAAGTAGAATGCCTGCGAGCAGAAGGTCGAGAATATTAAAATGAAGAGAAAAGAGAAGGGAACTGAAAGCCATCAAGATAAAAACAGGGATGAAGGAACAGCGAAGCTTGTAAGAGACACTTCAAAGAAAATTTACAAGTGATGTATTTGATGTGTGATTTTCACATTTTACTAAACGACATGTGATTATGCATCAATCAACAAACTGGTCCCCCCCACCTGAGTGTTTATTCACTACAGTAGTAGTAGTCTTTGTTTCACTGCATTTACAATACATTTGAGTATTTCATGTAGACAATATATTAGAATTATATGAAAATCTAAAAGAACTAGATACATTAAAGTGGAAATAGGGGAGAGCTCAGTATTTCACCATTGTATTCGTCTTGATAATTAAATAAAGGAATTTATAAAAAACCATCCTATATTATTTTTATTTCATAAACATGACAAATTTACATTCTTTTATGTTTTCTGCTTATTATTATTATCACCTCCATCATCATTCAAGAGTAGTTATTCCATTGTTAAAATCCATTCACTTATTATTATTTTATTTACATAAATATAATGTAGAAAGTTACTACATTAAGAATATGAATACATATTGTTAAGTAGTATAATGGAATTCTTCATAATTTTACTTTTCTTTAATTTCCAAACTCGTTTTGAACCGAAGTAGTTATATGAGTTGGGGTTAGTTTAATCTAAAGGCGGGTTCCCATAACAAAATGATATTAATTGGAGAATTACTGAAGGTGATTGAGCTTTGAACAGATGATTCGTTATATTTCAAAATTTCTAAGTAATATTCGCTTAATACACCACCAGGGATTGAGCGTGGTACCTTTAAGTCCCATGTTGCGCGTCATGCCTTCATACTACTAAGTCGGTGTCCAAAAGTCAATTTTTCTGAGTGTAATCAATTTATAATACAACGCAATGATCATACGATGGCATCGATCAGAAACTGCCTTACATCCTACATGATTCAAACTCCCCAGTCCTAGTTTCTTACTAAAAATTCAAGAACCAATCTTAAAGTTAGCTCATGAAAAGCAAATATTTATTATCCATCAGACATCAGTTCACGTAGAATCATCTGGAAAAAAGAAACGTTATAATGAACAAGAATAACTTTTTATCGATCGTATTTTTTGTTAAAAAAATGTGAGGGCGAAGAAATCCCTTCTAAATCTAATGACAAGAAAACTCACCAATGATATATTGTCATTATTACTACATATGCTGTGACAAGTATTAATTTAGTTCAGATGGGAACATGTGTACACTATAATGCTCTTGTCATTCAAGGATTTAAACAGATAAATATTTTTAGAATTATTAAACTATCTTGTGAATGGGAAGCAAACTTCAAGTGAAATGGAAGAAATTCCTCCTAACTATAATTTCAATTGCTTATCATGCTAGAATCAAATTTACTTGTTATCTCATTGGGTTTTATCACGACTTCCATCCGAATCACAGAATTATATTAAAACACTAAATACATAAAAGCATCAATTCACACTGAAATTACCATAAGTAGTAAACTGAAGAAAAAAACTATAAAAAAGGATTTAAGTTTTTATATCGCTTTATTTTAGGTTATTTAAATAAAGATTTATGACATCGTATTTCGTTTATTTTTGTTGTTATATTTGAGTGAAATTCACTAGTTGTATCGGGTGTCTATAATTGTAACTGAAATAATTTAGTACTACTTGTGAGTAGCTAAAGTTTATTTTGCAAATTTATTCGGAATTATTGCTGTTTGGAAGGACAATTATTGTCAGTGAAGAAAATGTTTCACCGAAGAGAAAAACTGGAAGAGAGCAGAGCTATAAACAAGAGTGTTCTAAGGTAATAATATAAAGATGGAGTGTTCAGTTCAGTTGGAAATCGAATTCATGAACAAATAAAATATCAATTTAAAGGATATAATATTCTTACCCCTTCCTGTATGATCTTCTAACTTTATCAGTGATACACTTTGCGAGTATTTCTTCCTAGCATTCGAAAAAATCTACGTGAAATTCACTATTTTCAACATGAAAACAACTGTTGTTCAAATTTGTTATTCACACTCGCCTCCGCACTGATGAACAAATTTCCGTCTCTTCCCTTTTTGCACTCCTCAAACCTATCACCCAATAATATTAATAATTTTAAAAACAGTATAGTCAGTTATTTATTGTTTCAGGACAGATTTAAGAGCCAATAATTTGTACAGTGACTGTCTTTTTATGAAGAATGAGTTCTAGTAACCAAACTGTCACCCGTTTAAAATGAAGTTCGAATGCAGTTACAGTCATAGATAATTTGTTACTCAAAATACTTTATATTTGGGTAGAAGAAGCACTCACCTACACAACACTCAAGTCAAAGACTACAATTAAAAAAATATGGTTATACCATCAAAATTTATTGTTAGAGCTAAAATGAAAAAAACTACAGTAGTTTTAATCATAGCCGGGAAAAAAGTGGATGCATAACAAAAGACGAAGATATGGCTAGTAACTGTTAAAAAAACATTTTTGAAAAAATGCCCATTCACTTACAGTTCTCCCACAAAAACCACCCAGAAGTTTTCCTTTAGGATCACCTCCATCGAAAACTCGAAGATAGTCGTACCTGAATAATACGAGGATGTTAACAAACATGTTGTAATTTCATAACGATTACAAAGAAACAAAGAAACAAGAATGAATAATAAGTGTTAAAGATAATTTGAAGAATTTCTGGAATGAGAGTTTCAGCTTTCAACCAATTTACAGACAAATTATTTCTATACCTTCACTCATGTTGCTTAAGAGTAAAATGTTCGTTTATACCTAATGATAAGTATATATGTACATAATGAACTACTTAATTCATCATATGGGGCAATGTGATTCAGATGGTAGTTTGGAAATGCATTTGATTCCCCCACAGATAATTCAAACCTAGATTGGGGTACAGACATACCGAAATTCTAAAATAAAATGTATTGTATACCTTACTAAAATACTGGGCAATCGGTGAGACAAAAAAATAAACACTACAAATCTTTTCATAGATAGCTAATAGTCTTTCTGCTTGAGGTTGATTATTTGAATGGGTTGAAATACTCTCGAATCTATATCAAATCAGTAGTAATTTTACGGAGAAATAGGTAAGATCTGATCGATGCTATTAACAGAAGCCGAATATAGAAAATATTTGAAAATTTCGAGAGACCTCACCTTTTGTTATGGACAGTCTAATCAGGATATATATGTCTTCTGTGACGACGGATTAAGTGTCATTTATAGATCTTCCTAATTTCAATAAATATTGATGAATGAACGGAAATCACTGCTTTCTATCTAGTAACAGGCCCTGACAGGTTTAACCCTGAGATTTTTAAGGATGGAGGTCCAGTATTAGCAGCGAGATTGACTTAGGTCTTAGGCAGAATTTGGGAACTGGGACTGGTCTCAATCACTGATTGTGCCAGTCTATAAAAAAGGACATAAGTCTTCTTGTGACAATCAAAGAGGAATCAGCTTGACTAAGATAGTGTCTAAAATATTAACTTCAATAATACTTCGACGCCCAACTAAAGCTCGTGAAGAGCAGACTAGAGAAAATCAGGCTGGTTTTCAACCTGGACGTGGTTGTATAGACCAGATATTCACACTACATCAGGTCCTAGAACATAGACATACATTCAGACACCCCACAATCGTATTTCTCGACCTTAAGGCGGCATTTGACTCTGTTGATCGTGAGGTTCTGTGGTAGTGTTTGTCACTGAAAGCAGTACCAAAGATGTACATTAACCTTGTGAAGGCTCTCTACTCGAACACAACTGGTCGAGTGAGAGCTTATAGCGAACTGCCATCAGAATTCATTACCTCAAGTGGTGTTCGTCAGGGTTGTCCACTCTCTCCATTCTTGTTTAACTATTTCGTTGGCATGCTTTTAGAGATAATACTTTTTTCATCTAAATTTCCAGGAGTTGAACTTCTACAGGGAGATTCACTTGTTGACTTAGAATATGCCGATAACATAGTTCTGTTTGGTGAAGACACTGACAAAATGCAGTCTTCTGACCACTATAAGCAACAATGCAAGCATGTTCGGCATGCGATTCTCTCCCTCAAAATGTAAAATGTTGCTTCAGGATTGGGTTGCATTGACACCCGAACTAATGATAGGGAGTGAAGTAGTTGAGTGTGTCGACCGCTTCACTTATCTTGGGAGTCTCATCAGCCCTTGCGGTCTGGTGTGTGACGAAATCTCAGCACGGATACAGAAGGCTCGACTAGCTTTCGCCAATTTGCGTCATTTATGGCGTGGGCGAGATATCCGTCTATCAACCAAAGGACGGGTTTACTGCGCAACAGTTCGTTCTGTCCTACTCAATGGCGGTGAAACATGGCCGGTAAGAGTAGAGGATATTCGTAGGTTACTAATATTCGATCATAGGTGTCTTCGAAACATTGCTCGTATATCCTGGAAGCTCCGAGTATGTAACGCAGTTGTTAAAAAACGAGCACTAGGTAAGGATGGCAAATCCATTGATGAAGTATTGAAACTTCATCAGTTGAGATGGCTGGGACATGTGTTACGTATGCCCAACCACCGACTGCCCCAAAGAGCGATGTTTTCTGGTGTAGAGGTAGGTTGGAAGAAAGCTAGGGGTGACCAGACCAAAACATGGCACAAGTCCATGAAGTCACTGGCAAGTGAACTGAGTCATGTTGGTAGGTGTAGACTACCTGGTTGGGATCCGCGAGACGATAGCAACCGATGGTTAGAGACCTTGAATGACATGGCTCAAAATCGTTTGCAATGGTGCAGGTGCATTCACTTTTTGTGTTCTCCCAAATTCTAATCTTCTAAACTCTTCATGTACCTTTATTTTCTTTGCAAATTTATTTAACTGGATCATACTCCTTGAATAACATCTTCAAACCCTAATCTTTCAGATTACTGCTTATACTCTTACTACGGGATTTGAATCGACAACTGAACCTCTGTGCTAATTTGGTATGACAACTCGAAATGATGTACGTACGTACGAAGTTCTACTTTGTTACTGACTGACTGATCTAGCTTTCTGAATTATTTAGGTTCGAAGTACATTAAGGCAACATCGCTGCTAGATCTCCAAAAACATCTGAATATACTTTATTGTCATTTCTGAAAATAGCAACTTGTTTATTACTTTCAAGAGGAAGAGATCACCTTTTATGTGAAAATAAAACAGAAGAATATCTTTCCGCTGAGGTATGTGACACAACTTATGAGAGGATTGTGACATCGTGTTGGGAATGTGATTGCGTCTTTAATTTGAAGGCTTTTTCGAAAGGCAGTGAAGTACCTTCAGATGTTTTTTTCTTGTAGCAGATGGCAAAAAGAAGTTCATGCTCCACTCATTCCTCTACAAATGTGGAATACATGTACAACCAGCTTCTACTACATCTTTATTTCAAGCAGATATGGTTGATATACAGACATACCGGACAGCATCACATCATAAAATAGAAGATAATAACTGTATATAAACAAACCAAAGTGACTGTGAACTGGAGAGACTGCAAATAATAGACTGAGAAATTGGGAACAGTAAGTCGTATGATAGTAGTTCATGGATTAACTGAAAGCTTATGATAAATAAAATGCATAAACATAGTATTCTAGTTAATAATTAGTTATTCAACAAAATTAAAATCAATAATAATTTGGGAAATCAGTACCAAATTTTATGATATTCATTCTGTTATAGCAGAAGTCATCGCTTTTACTCGATCTGTTCAGGGCATTTGGGAGAAGCCGGGCTGTTTGCCTACTACAGTCAGAGACATCATTCCCGGACTATCCCCATTGTAAATAATCACTAGAATAGATAATTTTTGTTCAGGATTAATAAACTTACGTGCATAGTGTTTCTTCTTCTACTTCAAAATAAAGAAATCTCAGTAGAACAGTATGATTATCTAATTTTGGTGTAATTGTCCAGTAACACTGTTGATTTGATTCGTAATCGAGATCACCAAACTTAGCATGTGAATAAATTGTTTGAGGAACACTGTCAGCAGTTAGATGACCACCACAAACTTTAGGAGAAAGTTATTAAGAAAATCAATACATATTTCTGATATATAAATACTCACCAAACAAAAACACTTGCATTTCTAAAATCTTATTCCTAATCTAAAAATCTCGGCGAGATTAATGTATGGACGAACCTTGAACGAATCTTAAATGACCTTGACAATTATTAGCCAATCAGAAGACAGTATAAAGTAAAAATATATTATAAGAAACTAATGAATTACAGTGGATATTCTTCTTTTACATGATTTAAAAACTTGTTAAGGTTTCATAAAGGTTCAGATGTTCTGAAATCATAATGCATACGATATAGGAACTCGTCCATATGGCTCCATAATAGTCGTCCTCTAAAGCCATGGTACGGTCTTAAAAATTCCTTCAATCTTGACCATATGGCTTCAATGTTGTTAGTATGAACGCCAGTAGTAGGGTCGACAAAATGACGTTTATGCACTACGACATGATGGACGTAGCCAAGTCTATGAAGGCATCTGTAAGCTCTCCAATCATCCGTATATACCGTAGTGCCCGACTGCACGTATTCCTGTATAATTGGTATTATTGTGCTTGCTTGCCGGTCTCTGACCCTCTGAAAATGTCCCTTTTGGGTTGATCGATCATAAATTCCAAGTACCTGTCAAGTATATTTACGGAAGTGCTACTCACCCAATCTTCCTTAATACTACTTCCCCTGTTGTATTTTCGCTTTCTCATTACTGTTTCATCTATCTCCACAATACTTTCTACTCCTCTGAATGATTGGTGTAGACGTGTCATTTTGATTGCACATATCTCACGACAATACTCATACCACTGGACTGCTGAAGTTTCAGTAACATCTGCAAACGCCGCAGCCAGTGTTACTGGTGTCTTTATTATCCAATTTGCAACTATTATCATGATTTGCCTCAGTTTCAGTCGCGATTGAGCGAAGAAAGTCCCCGTTCGAGCAGACTTTTTCCTCCAACATAAAGAACAACGAAATACAATCTCATCACGGTAGTCTGCACACTTTAATACAGTCATTTGATAACCGCAGTCATAGGTACAAGAACTTCTTAGTAGTCTCATCACTTGTAGCCGCTCAATAATCACCTCTTCTCTAAAATCCGCTGTAAACCGATCGTATGTGAGCATCAGGTGTTGAACTTGGCTCTGTGACCTTGAAATTGCTCAAACGCTCCTGATTGGCTCGCCCATAAATTAGTCTCGCCAAAATCTCATACCATTATTTGTTAAGGTGTTAAAACAGCATAAATTCTAAGTAAGTTGGTTTCTTTTAATTTCTTGAAATTTGGGTAATGATGTGTTTTCTGAGTTGGGTGATTTTGTTGTGATGCTTTTATTACCCTTCTGGACTGTATTATCAGTACTTGATTCATACAGAGATGATTTGTTTACTTAAACAGACAATAAAAGACTTGCAGTTAAACCGCGCACATCATACGATACGTCACAAGCAAAAGCATCCACCTAAGGCACTAATCTTCACTGTTTTAGTATCTCAACTATTTTCAGACTCAGTTATCTTGATGACTGCTAACTTAAAGTAGTCACGGTGTACTAACCGAACATATACGCCTAAAATATATTGACAAGTGAGGTTGATAACACAGTGTCGGAGGAATCATTACCTGTGAATCGAAAGTAGATAAACATCAAGTGACGATCAAAGACAACAAAATAGAAATTTCATCATGATACGATCGAAGCAATCGGTTCGTATTTAGGGTTATATGCTTTTAGCATCTCTTGACCATACGATCTTGGTAAACTTGTTTTCATGCCAAGAGTCAATATCACTATTCAATGGTATCTGCAAAACTAATCCAGGTTGATTCGAAATATAATCAGATACCTGCACTACAAAAATCTATAGAAATAATCACCAGCACTCATATTAGTAACGTTTTCTGTGATCCACAAGTAGCAATCTGGCAGTATTTTTCTTTATTTGCATCTCTCCGACCATATTCGTACTTATTGTTTGGCAACGATATGAGCTATGTCTAGCTACCTTTAGTCATATCACAATAAAGTTATTTGAAGATAAATGTCTTCAGATATGATAAATCATTGTATAATATTTATCTGAGTTTTTACTGATAAACTACCACTGATTAACAAATATCAACCTAGAAACATAAGTAAAACTACGACATGTCACGTTATGACCGATTGAGGCTCATTTTGTTCCCAAGTCTTACGACTTTACAAAGATTATCCTGTCGATTAAATCTTGAAATTGTGAGTGCTATATATAGTTATAACATAGCTATTACATGTATGTTGTCGAAGCAAGCACAGGATAGGAAAGATGTGAGCTAATTTTTAGTTCTTATTAATCGCACAATGAAGAATAATTTAAAAATGACTGGATATGTTAAATATTCTAGTTTTATATTTGTAAATAAAGTTAACTCTAAGTTTAATTACACCAAACAACAAGGTGTAGATTATATTATGTCCTGGAATGGGAATCCTCAGCTGTAGGCAAATATAGCCCCATCAGGGATCAAACATATAACATTAAGGCTTGAAGGATAGTACTTAACCCTCAGACCACTAAGTTGGCGTTCAGTAGTTCATATTTCCAACTCTAATAATCACTATTGTATTTCTTAATAGAATATCACAACTGACTTGTAGTATGTTGAGCTCGAAATCCTTTACGTTGTACAGATGAATCAGAATTAAATGTAAGCAACAACTGATTCTGTGAAGAAATAATTGGGCCAGGTTTTCTACTACCACAGTATTGACCAAGAAAAGCGGAACTATTTGTTGGTCCATCATAAGCTATAACTTGATCATATGTACATTGTTGATGTGACTCAAGTTCAAAATCGGCAAATATCTACAATACAATTATAGTTAAAAGTAAATAAGTAAATCTACTAAGAATCAATAACTTTTTGCCATAAACTATGGTTGATAAACTGCTTAAATCAACTTTTCAAGTCAGTTCGATTATTTTATCCTATTACTGACGATAATGTTTATTGATAGTGATGCTTTCAGTCATATACTTGAAAAATATGTTTACTTCTTACATAATACAACAGTGTTTCTCGTTTGATATCAATGGATTTTTTTTATGTATCAAGGCCTTTTTACTCATTATGCTAAATACTAAATCAGATAGTCGAATTTCACAGTACAATAAAAGGATCAAAATGATTTTGTTGCAATGACTGAAGGTAACTAAAGGTGATTAAATGTAATAGAGGTGCAAAATTAGATGAGGTAATGTCATGAATAAGATCATGAGGATATGAGACATAAGTAAAGGAAAAGGGGGATTACAAAATGGAAAAAATAATAATGTAATAATAATAGATTAAGACCAAAAGAACGATAACGATAGGACGTACTTCTTTGGTACGCACTATTCTATCTTGAGCTCATGGATGGTATGAGCCTCTGTTATTTTAAGGAGTTGGATGCGAATAAGTCTGGGTAAATTGGTACTAATTGAATACATAACCATAAAATCAATCAATGGATCGGTAGAGTGATCAGAGTCGATTAGATGCTCAAGGATGGAATATCTAAGTGCTTTCCTCTCACTCTTATAGAACCACACTGGGAAATGTTCTATTATCCGAGTTGAAGGCAAGCATTGACTGTGGCCTATGTACCCAGCTCCACAAGAGCAGGTGAACTGGCAAATGTACATGGAGGCGACCAGACGAGGAAGCTTGTCCTTTACAGATACAGAAAACAAGTTTCCATTAGTGAACTTTATTTGCAGTTTTGCCGCATAGATCGTTATTTTTGTAGCTGTCGTTACCCTATTTTTAGTTACATCAGATGTTCGGTCACCTTTAAATTCCAGATTCATATAAAGGTATTACTTCTAGACAAAGAACCGGATTCCTTGTCCCAACATCTTTTTTTTAAATATTCTTTTCTATGAAGCAACTTGGATAGTCGTTTTCCGCTAGAGTTTTCCTGAGGAACGCGAGTTTCTCGTCGATGCATTCCGTACTACATTTTGATCCTCTTACTGCATTCACATTATGATTCATTGTTAACTTATTAATTTTATCGTTATTACTAAATAATTAACGCGCGTGTCTTCATGTTTATTTAAGCATTCATCAATTCGAATGACCATAATCAGGTGTATTCTATGAAGACAATGTCTAGACTGACGTTGAAACGTTCAACGACTAAACCTTAAAAGCAAACAATATGTCGACTAAAATACATATAAATTCCTGTCAACAATATATGGAAAACGTACCCTATCTAATAATTTATACATCAAAAACTTATAATGAATATCATACACAGTTCTATGGTAAAATGAGATTAATTATGCTAAATGACCACTTACAACTTTCACTCGATGACCAGGTGTTACAGTGATTTTCCAATGACAATTTTGCTTCACGGGATATTCATTTGGCCAATTTGGAGTGATAATCTCCCCATCGGGTGAAGATATATCTTGGTGACATCCAGTTTTAATGTCTAGTTAAACAAAAACAATGATCCATCCAGGTACGTATCATCATACTAAATAAGGTAAAAACTATGACAAGAGAATTTTTCTGTTAATTTTCACTTACAACTTTAAAGAAAGTTTTTTTAAAGCATTATTCAGTAAAAGAATATGATGTGGCTAAATATACAAAGAAACGTTTATATTACGCAGTATTTACAAATTAATTTCCCAACATTGTTTCAGCTAAACGCATTTTACCCGTTAGTTTGTCACTTCTTGAGATACAAACTTCTTATCCCGTCTTCAAGGTTATTACAAACACACTTATACACACTTGCTGTTTACTTGAATTCATTAAATCTCTTAAACAAAGTTTTTCATTTAGATGAAGTTTGAGGGGGGGGATGAATAAGAAGCTGTCTGTATTGATTTAAACTATTTCATTGATCAGTTCAAATGAATAATAATAATAATTAAAATTCGAAGTTCATGTATAGTGGTAGTATAGTCAGGGGTGAACTGATCATTAATGATCAGAGGAGATCCGGTGATCTCTTTTATTGAATAAAAAAAGACAACGAGAGATATATTTCACATAAAAGCAAAGCTCAGCATTTATTGATAAGTTATTACAGTAACAGTAGGAAAAAACATTTATTTCTCATCAAAATCTATGCAGTTTTTATGATATATAAGATAATCTTAAACAGATTTCAGAAAAATGCAAACGAGATAATTAAATACTTTATTTAATTATACTACTTTGAATGCACACTATACTCTGACAAATTATTCAAATAATAATAGTCTCTATTGTTTGTGGACAGAGGGGGAATTCAGGATGATCATCTCATTCTGCTTGTGAGACTTATCAATTGGATGTTGACACTAGGGTAAAAATCCAGTTCCACTAAGCTACTAAGCGATTTGTGTCACTTATTGCAAAAGATGTCGGATGCTACGTATCACCTTAGATATAAATAGAAATACAACTATAATTACCTTGTGTATGAGTTTAGTTCCCTTTAGAATAATTGTCAACAATGCAATTGTTATTGAGTTCATTAAAGTTGACGTATTGGTATCTTTATAGCTACATATTAAAAGAGTAATATTACCACAAAGAAGTAAGTTGCTTTTGGTCACTAAGTGTTCCCTTTAAATTATATGTTAATTCTACATCACATTAAGAGTAAAAGATACTCGTAAACTACTAGTATTTGACCACAGATGCCTTAGAAATATTGCTGGCATCTGCTGGGATCATCGGGTAAGTAATAGTGAGGTTAGACGCAAGGTATTAGGGAATGATGGTAAACCAGTTGGTGGGGTTGTGAATCTTCATCGACTGAGATGGTCGGACCTCGTGTTGCGTATGCCTGAACACCGGTTACCACGACGCGCAATGCTGACTAGTGTTGGGGATGGTGGGAAGAAAGTTAGGGGCGGCCAAACCATAACGTAGCATCAGTGCTTGAAGTCACTAACTTCTGGTCTGAGCCATGTTAGTAGATGAAGACTACTTGGTTGGGGTCCGCATGATTATCGTAACCAATGGTTGGAGACTGTGGGTGACATGGCTCAGAATCGATCACAATGGCGTAGGTGTATACACTCTCTGTCTTCCCTTAAACTATGAGATTAAAATTGCTTCATAGCTTTCTTTCTACGAACTAATTCTTCCTTCCTGTACTTTAACCTTATATGCAATCTTTCTTTTATATATTACTACCATTGAATTAACTACTATGAATTCAGTGTTCATCTTGTTGTGGTTATGAGGTATGACAACTTGAACCGATGTAAATATGTGCTTGGTCCTACGTTGTAGCTGACTGACTGGCTTTACATCACACTGTTGTTCGCAGTTATTGTATTTTGTCTTATTTATTAAGTTACAATTATTCAAGACTTTTACATTATAACCAAAACTTAGTTACCGCTTATTCCAGATGTTTAGTGATTTGATTCTTCAAATCGGCATATGTTGAAGAAGCGAGGATATTTTTAAAATATTTGCAAATTGAATGATGATTTCGATAATTTATCACCAAGTTTTGTGATATGATATCCATATTCACCAGAAACGGATAAAAAGACCAATGCTTAGTAGCTGATTTAATAAAAATTCGATAAATATGATTCTCAACATTAGATAGTCGGAATAATGCTACAAACTTATTACCAACATCTGTTGAAATGTTAATTAAGTATTTTCTTTCGATAAATACCTTTTTGATGGTAAATAATTTTAGAAAAACAACTATTAGTAGAACTCTGTTACCTAGTCGGCACCTGTATCTATCAAGCTCAGTGAATTATACGATATCAATTAAAACAAATTCTCAAAAAAGGTGAAAAATGCACTTATTCTATCAGACTAATCATCATTATTGATATGAGTAGATTGAAGAAATTATTCACTTATGGTATTTAATTTTATAGTATCTAGTTAATTAGTTAATATAGAGGATTTAATATAAACTATCAGATGACTACTGAGTAGTTGTGACTGATGGAATTCAAACATATTGGGAGTGAAACACATGTTATCAGTGACATTAAGTGTTTTTCATAATAAATTGGTAATTGATTGAACTTAGAATTTTACCATTGGGTTATGAATCACTGGCTCTAATGGTTAGGTGTCCGTTGAGAAATTTGATTGTCCTGAATTCAACACTTGACGGATGAGTGGATGAGCACTGTTAAGGAAAGAAACTAGACCATTAGATTTCAGTCTAGTGGCTCATCAGTATGATGTTTACTTTGAGATCTTCGAGTTTTAAACTAAACCTTGTATGGAGTTGTTGGTACAGAATGGTGAAGTATCTTAAACTAAGATAAAATTACTGTATATTGTTCTTTGTATTTCAAGAATTCCGCGATTGGTGTTAATTACTGACGACAACCAGTCTTAAATTACTCATCAAATAATTTGGGAACGCAGATGAAAATAAGTAAAAACGATTAGAAAATGGGAGTCATTCATTAAAAAAAATACTTTAACTCTTTAAACGCTAAATTTCACTTAGATTACTTAGAGACAGCAATTCAGTAGTACAAACATATGATCATTTAATAGTGGTAGTGATAATGAACAGTTTATTATCACTGATAGTGACCAAATCATGAAACACACATATACACACACTCTTAATTCAATGTAACATTATATAAATATATTATCGGGAATCATATCACGCAATTAATGAACCCCAATTACTTGACAACTTAATATTAAACCGATCATTTTTCATATTACAAAGATAAAAAACAATTATATACTAATCGTAAAATGATAATCTTATTCATATTGTTGATATGAGTTGAAAAAAAATTAGATAAGTATCAAAAATACAAATAAACTAATTAATATTTGCCTATTGTTTAACTTAATTTTGTCGCCAACGATGAGATAATTTAAACAAAAAGCTATTGAACTGTACAATGTTTCAATCTAATAATAATAATAATAATAATAATAATAATAATAATAATAATAATAATAATAGTAATCGTAATGATAGTTGTATTCTTGTTTAAAATAATAATCACACATACAGTATATTAATAATGACTATCAATTGTGTGAAATATGTGTGGCCTTTTATAACGGTTTTGGTAAAAAATGAAATACACGTAGTGTTAAACTGATGAATTTGTAACTTAATGACTGTAGAGTAGTATGATCTACAATATCATTTAACAAACTTCCAAAATAGAGAAAAGATAGCTTAAAGAAGGCCATACATACAGAATTGAGATTCGGTAATCGATTGTACAATAAAGACATAATTGGAGATTTTGCGACCACTAATTCTAATGTTCGGGCGTCTAACTCTCCTGGGCGCAATCATGTGAGTTAATATGTTTGTGGTATGGTTGAAAAAGATACCAATGGTATTGGTTTTGGTCAAAATGCCCAATTGGTCGACAAGACTAGGGAGGCATTTAAAGCTATATATAGTATATGTGGATCCAGATTGAGACAATAGTGGACGCTGAGAACAACATCTCTTTCCAGTTCTCTTATTATCATTTTGATTAAAATATTCTGATATTTTTTTCCAAAAAAACTTCACTTTTACTGAGATACTGACTTGCTCACATTTTAGAGAAAATCAAATTTATACCAGACACCATGTACAATAAAAAATTGTTCAAAACTGTACACTGTATACAAGAGTTAGCGATAATGACCTCAAGAAAAACCATATTGTTGATGCATCAATATCAACCATTATCACGATGTAAAGTATTTGAAGATGTGGTTGTCTTTATTAGGATTTTATCAAAATTATACCATACTTCGCATCGTTAAATATAGAAAAGACTCATTGTTCCACTGAGATAAAGTAAATGAACATGAAACAAAACTCTCTGGTTCAAATGTATTAATGGAGTAAGTAGGAATTAGAGATTCACTTCCTGGTCAATCAAAAAATTAGTGATTTATTGATTAGGGGGAGAGGGTGAAAGCGTCACACATGACGGTTTTGTTTGCTGAATATTGAACGGTCTTAGATTAAAACGTTTGGTGTTTGGAAAATAAATAATCACCAATCTGTTTTGTGTTCAATCTTATATAAATAATTATTTAGTTTTTATTAATATCTCAAGTCCATAAATAGTAATTATATTACTTGTTAATATAGCTTATTAATTCAGTTCTTTACAAACAATAAAGTCTAAATGAAAGACATATTTTATCAGACCGTATCGTTCATCTAGGAATTCAGTTATAAAATGATAATACACTACTTTAAACCTGATGAAACCCATGAACACATTAAAAATATCTTAAAAGGGCATTGAAATCAGTAATTTGTCTGTGTTAAATGAAGCAGAAACTTGACAAGAAAGGTGGAAATATAATATATTCATTTTCAAACATTAAGTTATATTCATAAAACATAAGAGGGTTACATGAATGATGTTTGGAATAATAATTTATAGATTTTTACTTTTTTGGTTTGAGGCAGCCTTTGAAGTAAATTTTTTGAATTTAACTAAACAGTACGTTAAAGAGTAACTTCTCTTTCTATAACTCTTAATTCAGTATGGCTCAAGCCATATTCTACTGACAATTTTTCGATTTCTAAAATGTCATATTTAAGCTGTGTAATGTAAGCGACTCACTACTCGCTGAATGAGAATCAATTAATCCTGTTTACAGAAATCTTAGAACATGTTTGCTAACAAAGAAATATACACTGATTGATCACTGGGTATCCTTGTAGAAAAGGTTAGTTGACGAATACCGAAATGCACGATACTTGGATTCAAGGTCTATAGACGATTAGCTCTAACCACCTAGCATCGAAACATAGCAAACTCAGCCTTCAGTTACCTAATATAATGGCTACATTGCAACATAACCGATAGAATTCAATCAAGGCTAAGGAGTAGAGATGTTTCACATTGCTCATTGATCAGTGATTGATTGTGGTGAATACTCCAGTCATGATGTACGGATATTTCGAATCTGATGGCCCCGTTTTAACGCCTCTGATTTTGATACTGGTTGGTTCAAATCTCACAAGTACTTGCTGTTGACGAATATCATCTAACACGAAGCATACATTGATAAACTGCTGCTGATTATTTGAAACAACCCAACATCTAAAGTATGCAGTGAAAAAGTTCATTATCATCCAAAGGTGTGGTGCTGATATTGAAAATTTAGCTTTCACTTTTTCTAAGGTGGACCACCTAGGATAGATATTGTCGTTCAAAATTTACTTCGAGTAGGCACATATTTCTCACTGAACTAAAAGAAATTACAACCGCTACCAGAAATGTTTTTAAAGTGAAAAATAATCATTTACCGTAGTAAACTACTTACAATTAATATAGTAACATCCACAAACTAAAAATATAAATTTATAAAGACATAGCATAAAGTAATGTTGAGTTTTCTATGGTGAGCAGTTTTATGGCAAGACTTTTATTGCCAATCTGAACTAAGTGAACAATACCTACCTGGACTAGAAATCAACATTTTAGAATTATCCCTTAAATAAAATATCAGTTCAACGTGATTACCGTATTATTGTTTGTTTGCTCATAAAGACTCTAGACATTTGAATTTCTTTCGAATGCTGTATCCTTATCGATTGGATATATGTATACTAACTGTCAAGTGGCTTACTTGCCACTCATTGAGTGAATCTAAAATGCTTATTTCCAGTTTAGATAGATACCGATGGTCTATGCTTCTCAATTAAACTATCCAGCGCAGAGAACTCAATGATACTGAATACATCCATCTCGCTATAATTTAAAACACTGAATGAAACCTACTCTCTTTGCATTCATATCTGCCGTAAAGATTAAAACCCGGTCGACAAGCGCAATGGTATGATCCTATTGTATTTCGACATAAATGTTGACAACCTCCGTTATTATCAGCACATTCATCTCGATCAGTAAAGAATACAGCTCTGAAACCAGTACGCTGTACAGATGTATCTGAATAAAATTCAATACTGAGTTCATTTGTATGGGATGTAATAGGCTCTGGTATTTGATCACCACAAAATGTGCCAATTTTCTGTTGATTATCTGTTGAACCATTGTAAACATTGATAAAATCATATCGACATGCTCGCTAGACAAGGAAAAAAACAATTGTAAATCAAGCTGTCATTGTTAGTTTTGACCGAAACGATAGTCAAATAAAAACGACGGATTTACATTTAATACAGTCTGTGTATTTAATTCGGAATATTTATAAACAAAGAAAAACGGTAGAAAGTTTTATCCTAGCACACTTAGTCAACACAAGCTGTAAGACCGACACATATATTTCATTCAAAGTTACGTATCTAATTCCATTCGGCTTGTTCTTTTTTATCCAGATGTCGCCTCCCATACAAAGTAGAACCCATAGGAACTCACCTTAATAAACCTATTCTTTATATAGAGAAAACATTTCTCTCTTCTTTGGTCATCTAACTAATGTTGAACTTATCCTTTCATTATGAATTCCAACTCCTGCTCTAATTTCTTACTTTATTCATCTTTATTCCCATGTAATCATTTTGAGTAACTAACTGATTCTTAAAACCTAGACTTCAAACTTTTCTGTAATCATCGCAAATAATTAAGTGATTCCTAAACCCAGAACTATTTGTTGATCTGTCTTAGTGATCACTCAATTTTATAAACCGTTTCCTTATTATTAGTATTGAGTTACAAAGGCTTCGTTGTCGATTTTTGTATTCAAATGCAAAATTATATTAGCATTGCTCATTCTTGACCCATCTTGATGTCTGATCAAGGGACTTTAATAATGGTAGAAATGATGGAGTGGAGTACAGAAATTTAATATCAAATTACTTTACAACAATTTTCGAATTCCAAATTCAATTCGTAAAAGGTTACATAATGATTTTCTAAATGGTGCTTTATTACACAATCTTTAAAGTAATCACTTCTCTTTAGAACAACTAATGGAAATAACGTTGTGTGCATGAAACTAGTAAAAAAACAATAAACTCGTAGCCACGTGGTGGATCAAATAACTGTGTTGATTTGTCTAATTCAAATCATTCTATATGATATGTTAAAGAACGAAGAAGTATGGTATTATAAAATGTCTTGGAAACCTTCAACAAATAGAGACAGAACCGAATGAAAATAGAACACAATGATTTCCCGAATATACCTAGTAAAAGTCTTATAACATTTTCGATTGGATAATTTTATTATTTATTTATGATGGGGATCTCAGCTTTGTAAGTCTCACATAAAATACAGTAATTTATATGTTCGAATATCATTCATTTCATAGAATATTTTATTGAGCACTCACTTAACACATTTCTGACCTAAATTCATCACCTGTATGGTTTCAATAACAAGCACTAGATCAAAGTGTCATCGGTTGTTTTGAACTAACATCTAATGTGTAACTTTGTATTGAATTTCACAGGAATCAGCAAACTGCTTTGGTATAAAAGATTCTAATAGGCCATTTAACCGATGAAACAATTCACTCAACAAAAAAATTATTTCTAACCAGTTTATATATTCAAAATCAACGTCACTGAAGAATTTTTTAGTTTACAAATGAAAGCATTAAGACATAAGAAATATCTGTAAGTTAACTCACATTATGACCTTCTAAATTAAAATGTGTAAAATTAAGAAAAATTGTCGTTTTAGGTGGTGCCAAAATTTTCCAGATACAATTTTTCTTAGGTGGATATAAATCAGGAAACAAAGGCGTTTGAATAGTACCATTCGACTCATTGATTACCCCTCCACATGCATCTAATTTATGGAAAATAATGTCACTTGTATAATCAATATTGTTATTGATTAACGAATATAGTAACAATAGCAACATAATATTCTATGTTATGTAGTTGAAATAATAAAATAACCTAATCTCGACTGAACTTTGAAATCAGTTCTATAACTTTCTTCCTAATACATTTTGTGAAGTGTAAACGGAAATAATTCAAATTTTTCTCATTTTCAAAACATCGTTCAAGTTGTACATAGCTGAAAATTAATGTCTTAACAGAATCAAGATAGACATGGAATTCAGTTGTAGTTGATTTTGAACATTGAGATGTATAAAATATTCTTAATAAGAAATTCCTGGTCCTTTTTAATGGAAAAGAAAAACAAAGTCATTTTGATATGTTTCTTTTCATGAGTATCTCAAATACTAGGTTTCAAACTGTGTTTCCATGCATCATTATGCACTACTTTAAATATCCAGTCAATTACTATAGCATTCGTAGGTAAATACTGAACTGTTTTACATTATATTTCATCAAAATACTCTTTAAAGTGAAATGGAATCAGTTAACTTAATTTATGCTAATTCGAAATGCGACAGTAATCAGTGGAGCTCAACCGAGTCTGTTGTGACATAGTAACTCACTGATGACAATGGTGGATTCGTCGCTCAATTTCGTGGATTGGTTGAAGTTAAACATTAACACCGTTGGATGCCGGCTCAGTGGTCTAGTGGTTAAGCGCTCGCCCGCGAGACGGGATCGTGGATGCGCACTGCTGAGGAGTCCCACGCTAGGACCAAGTGGCCGTCCAATGGTTCCGGGTTTTCCATAGTGGTCTAGCTTCAATTGACTCATGATCTCAACCTTTGAAATTACTATGATATCCACAAAAAACCCTTCTGATATAAATTCTATATGGATCTATGTTAAAGTTGAGTTAATATCAAATGATCCTTTATATTTCTGTATAATTCCTGTCTTACGCTGACAAAATGACACTTAACACAACTATCTATGAATGATAAAAATGGGAAAATGAACTGGAAAAACTCCATATTTTAATTTACATACTGATGAGATTTAAAATGTGTGAGATGTAATACACATCTATTTAATAACGATTTTACGAAAATTTGTTTTTACCGCGAAGACATGAATTTGAATCATGAACAAAAATCAAGGTCAGATCATATCCATTCATTTAAAAGTCATTACTATCCATAACCCTGGTAATATCACAACAGTAAATCAACTGACATTTTAAAATTCGTTTTAATGCTACTGATAAAATCACAAATAGTCTTCTTTAGTCAGATGAGGAATAAAAGTTTGAGAAAGTATAGTGATAAAGATAATGTGTAAGTGCAAACAATGTTCGCTGTGGTAACAAGTTCACTACTAAATCTGAAAATAGGGAACATAATTTATGATATTAAATATTTGACGATTGAACACAGTTAATAATAAGCTATTTTTACAAACAACTTTTATGATGAGTAAACCCTACCATAAATTACTTCACTTTATAGATATAGGAAACAACTGAACTATAATGTGAAATCAAATAAATCATTAAATTTCGTTCATTATATAAATAAAGTTTATTTTTAGTCATTTGATTGGGTCATTCTAATTACCTTCACAACGTTTCCCATCTGCATGTAGTTCATAACCAATCTCACATTGACATCGATAACCTCCAAGTGTATTGACACAAGTATGTGAACAACCATGTTTCATAGTTTTGCACTCATCAAATTCTATGAGAAATCAAACAAAATAATTAATATTCTTAACTATTAAAGTTCTGTTGCACATAGACTTATGACTTTTTATTGTAACAAAGAATAATTTTAAAGTTCTAAGTTGAATAATAAATTGGAATATCGTCATAACCCAGAGGATTGAGATGATACAAAATTATATCGATTTTGAAGATTTAATTTCTTCAAATGAGAAAACTTTGTGTTTTTCTTAATGTATAGGAATACTATATTGTACTTAAAACAAAAATGATTTTACTATATAAAGTTTGATTAACATATAGATAGTTAAAGATGTATAACAATTTCATTATGTTCCTAGTGGCTTTCTTCCATTACTAAAGGGTGAGTTCAAACAGTTTTTACTATCATGCACTAAAAGTACATGATTTCAGTCTAAAAAAAGCATTTTATCGACAAGTTGACAGAGTCACTATAGGTTGCCCATTGGAGACAGTCCTGGCAGATATATTCATGTCAAAAATGGAACAAACAAAAATGAATCCGACAGTTGATTAAAAAAACTCTACGTCATGTATGCTGACAAGAGAAGTCTTGCTCACGATATTCATAGATATGCTTATCACCTAGTAAATCTTTTAAATAAAGTGCGCCCTAATGTAAGGTTTACACACAAATATTATGACGAATTTATTTTTTTTAAATTGGCATTCAGATCCATTCAAAAGACTACCTAGAAAGATCTACTTATTCAAAAGATACATGGAGTGAATTTTCTTTGAATTTCAATAGTTCCTGTCCAATAAGCTACGAAAATGTTTTGGTTAGAACACTATCTAACTGTGTACGGAAACTATATACGGAAGAGAAGACTAAATAAGAAATAATTGTAGTCAGAAAGCATCTGGTAGATATTGTTTACCCACAAAAGTTGAGCAATAAGTATAGGAAAACAGAAAAGAGGGAAGTGAAATTTGTTGAAGTCGATAAAAATCTAGCCCTTTAACCACTTAGCTTTAAAAGTGATGCAATAGCTAGGATGATAAATTCTAGACTAAAAGCTTCACTTAAAAGGACGTGTTCATCTACTAAACAGGTCCCATTGTATTAAACAAGTTGCTTATTGAGAATGACAAATTGGTTAAAATCCTACCGCTCGTTACCTTCACTTCTATTTACTAGTTCATATGTTCATGCCAGGGCACTTTAAATTGGAGAATAGGAAGAAAGGTGCTCGTTCGCAACTCTCAGAATATCCTACAAAAACTAAGATTAAAGGGTTAATGTGTTATCAACATTACCATTGCCCCTCATCTGCTTGATAGTGAACAAAATGTTAGCATTTTAAAATTGTGCAAAATAATTGAGACTCAAACAAATAATTTGCTTCGTTACCCTCTGGTCATTACTATTAAAATGTTGAAAGTGATTGTATATACTCAAATGAATGTAGTTGTAAATCTCATTACCCTGGTATCTTTTATTTTTCATTATTCAATGACGTAATATCTTATTTCATATTCCCAAAAATAAGTTCCTTCCTTCTTGAATCATTTTTGAGCTTAATCCATCTTAATGTGCTAATTCATCCAATTTCAAGGTTGTTTTAAGATGACTTTAACATCAATTTTCATTGTCTAGAAACATGTTTCCATGTTATTAAAAAAAATTTATTCTAAAATTCCTCACATTTATTAACATTTAAGTACTCATCTACTCTACCATTTTATAGTTCAGCGATACTTGTTGTCATTATTCTACTGATCTTGATTAATATGGCACAAAGTAGGTACATTAGTTGTAAATTATTATTACTATTGTTTCTAGGTTATAAACAGCTGGAGAAAACCTACGTTTTTTGTTCTTACTTTAATCAAATTTAATAATGAGAAAAATTGTATGAAAAGTGTTAATCTTTTTAATGCGTATATTCCCTCAAAGCTCTATTACCTATCCAACTTAATATTCTGTTTTGAATAATATGGCACAATATTTTGTTGAACATAAAGTACACACAGGACAAAACACTTTAAATTCAATTAGAAAGCCAATCTTAGTTAAATAATCATTTTGTCTGCTGTGTCATTTGGATCACTTTTATTTATATTATTTTAGTTCTTCTAGACGAAATTTAGAGCATAAACATCAAACTGTAGGTAACTCTTAGTTGGTCTTTTTGTTAGATAATTTACAAAAGAATTTTCTGATTACTCTTTTCTTCTAGCTAATAAAGAATTGGTTTTTACGAATCATCTCTTGATTACAGTATTTAGCTTTGAACACTTGACGGGTGAGAATCAACAATTTTATATCACAGGAACATTCAAATTAATAATCCTAAAGTCGACTGTTGTGTAGATTCCATTCTCACCTCAATAATCAGACGTGATAAATTGCCTCTAAAATGTTAGTGATATAAATTTATTTGTAACGCTAGTGAATAATCCTACAGATCAAGATTATCTCTAATATTCTTGACCGTTAAACAGTATACGTAACTAAATACACAACGAAATGATTTAAATATCACACACATAGTCAAGGAATTGAATTCTTCTTCTATTCTGGTAGAACCAAAATTGTATTAAAAATTTATGACAGGTCATTTATAGACTGGAATAAATACTTAAAATACACAACCTTTTATGAATATCAATAGTCCCTTCGTAAATGTTTCTTAGTCAAAAATTTCATTAGTTCATTGGTGCCGAACAATTCTTTTATTAAGGTAAAAGTGTTTAATGACTGACAGTAAATGGATAATACATAATTAGTATAATATTCTATTGAATAATTTAGTTCCTTACAGATGTATCGATTATTTCCAATAAGACCAATAATATGCATAATTTGGATATTCAGGTTTTCGTAAATCAATAATTTTCAGAGTTTATTCATTAATTAAATTTTTTACGTAGTTTCCAAAACTTTAAAAAAATAAAATAAATTTGTTCCTGTTGGGGAGACTTAGAAAATTCCTCGAAAAATGCCATAAAAGACTCTGAAAACTCTGAGAAACCCCTTATTCAATCAGCATTCAATAGACGTTTTGCCAGAAACATCTAGAAAGTAAAAAGTCACAGGTCGCGTTTCTAATTGGATGATTAATTATACTGCTACTATGTTTAGCAGGGTTTCAGAATTTTCTGGAAGCCTAAGGCCATCTAAAATGTTATAAATACCTTAGATTTTCTGAACACGAACGAACCTTGGAGTAATGCGTTTCTTCTATATTTCATGCCTTTTCTCTCGTGTTCAGGTTACTGTGTAGATTTAGCCTGAGGGTTAATAGAAGTGCTTAGGAACCGAATCTAGCGTTCACTTAGAAGACTTATCAGTTTCAGTTTTACTTAGGTCTCTCAGCAAACTAATCACACTTGTTTACTGATTTGTGCTTTTTTTAAGCTAACTTTCACACTTTATTTACACAACCTAGCTATGCAGATATTGTGGACGTCGAAACTTTAAAGAAATTGATCATTACAATTATACTGTTAAGTAGTTTAGATTATTAAAGTAAATCTCTCACTAATTTTGTTGTAAATATATTATCAAATAACTAATTTTAAATTTTAAATTACCTTTCTGAAATGTGGCCGTAAATCCTTGTTTTTCTACTGAGCTATCTGATACAAATTTTACATACATCACATTATTGGTCGATTTAATTGGAGTGGGTAGATGTGATCCACATAGTTTTTTCAGGAGTGGGGATGTATCTTTTAAACCATCACGTACCTCTAGGTAATCGTATACACAGGTATCATGTTTTTCTAGCTGTGAATTATCATTTTAGAAAATGAAAAGATCAACAATCCAGGTTATGAATGCTTAACTCAAGAAAAAAAAAGAATTAAACAAACCAGCTGAAAATGAACATTTATTTAGTCTGTTCACTTATAAGCCAACAGGTATCGAGCTAGAATATAGATCTAAAAATAAGCTATACTCAAATTTCCATCATCAGTTGACTTGATGATATAGAGCACTTTTACTGCATGACAAACAGGTTAATTGAACCATTTTGATTACTTTTTTCTATTTTTTTAAACATTATTTAGCGACAAATAATCGATTTAATGTGTCTACAAAAGTCTCTATAGTTGTATAGTTCTACGATTAGCGTTGTACCGTAAATACTGATTGTGATGAATTCTAATGATCTATCTATGAAAAATCAACCCCAGAAAATATTTAGGCTAGAAGTAATATTTGCAGACCTAAATATAAATATTTATTATCAAATCAATGTTTATAGATTATCATTCATACAAAGCCAGTTAAGGATCCCTGTATTACAACCTTACTAAAACAGACTTAATTTCTTGTTATTGTTAAAATAGCTTTTTATGCACTGGAAACACTCAAATTGAAGCTTGAGGTTGTAAAATGTAAAAAGAATGACTGAAAACTATTTAAATCCACACTGGGTGCTACAACATAAAACACACAGAATTTCTTAATCATAGACTTTTAACTCACCTGAAATGAATGAAATATCAATGCAACAGAATAACCAACAGGAACAACAATTTGCCAAACACATTCTTTACTTGGTCGATAAAATTCAGGGTAATTTGGACTTGTTAGTGTCCCTTCTTCCATTTGTAATTCTCCACCACATATAGCTAAAGGGGAAAATATTTATGAACATGTAAACTTCAGAGTACTTTTTCTACACATTTTGTTTGAAATCTTAAGAAGTAGTGAAATAGAATGAGTGAATTGATGGTTTTATGTAAGTTTTAGTGCTCTTCCTATCAGAGCCATGAAGTTTTAAATAAATGACTGTTTTCTTTCTGAAACCTCACATTGATACTTACATGAAGAATTCCTGTTAACGCTACAGCTAAGAATTATTTATGAGTAAGTGTTATAAATATTGCTGAAATTCATGAATGTTTATCTTACATCAGAAGACACAAATTCCAATTGAAATTCAGATTTTTCATCACAGAATTCTACGCAATAAAGAGAATTTCAAAAGGTTAACATAATTCATTATTCAAATGTATAAACTTAAGAAGTATGAGTTGGAAAATTATTTTTTCTGGAAAGGACTGCCCAGGACAAGGTTGGATGGAGAATGCTGGTGAGCGGCCTACGCTTCTTCACGAGGAGTAACAGGCGTAAGTAAGTAAGTATGAGTTGGAAAATAGTGTTCAAAATAATTAGGATACTTTAAGTAAATGAAAAGGACAGTATTAAATCATTTAATTATCACCTTCATAATCAGCGATAAAACCTGTAGTCATACTCCCAGCAGATCTTCTATATTCTAACCAAAGACGTGATCCAGTTGAAATTAACTGTGGAGGTAAATTTTGACCACAGTAACGACCTAAATAAAGATCGGAATAAAAAAAATTTGCAAAATAAGAATATTGTATACAAATTGATAATAACACACTAATGTTAAATCTATAGGAAACAACATGTAAACTAATCTATTTCTGATGTAGTTCATACGGAAAAAGTTGTGAATAATAAGCTTTGAACATTAATGAAATACGTATTTCTCAGAATATTACCGATGATTTATATTATAAATGAACATTATTTGAACTTAAGACTTATGAATGAAGTATAATCACCTTTCTAACTTTTATCAAAAAACTTCATATTTGAACAGGAGATTTTAACTTATAAAGTAATTTCTTGGTATATAATCAGGCTATTAAAGTTTAGTAAAAGGGTGTCAGTAATCATAAACATTGTAGTTAACTGGCAAATATTAATGATTAAGTTAAAGTGTATGTTACATTTAAAGATCCATCCTTATTTCTCATTGGACGAATGCATAAAACTAGATTTAAATACAATGGTCAGAGATAATAATTCACTTAGTTATGAAATTACATTATTTAATTCAATACAAAAACTTTGATTAAAGTCAATGGTTAAAGTCTGAATCTTCTAACAAACAATTCTATATGCTGAATTGGTTGAAGTTAGACATTAACATTGTTAGATGCCGGCTCAGTGGTCTAGTGGTTAAGCGCTCGCGCGCAAAACTGTTAGGTCATAGGTTCCAGATTTTCCATGGTGCTCTAGCTCCAATCGATTCATGATCTCAACCATTGAAATTACTATAATATCCACAGTTAGTATCAAATGATAAGTATTGTTTTATATTAGAGTTGATTAACGGTGAAACAATTCAAAATGAAAACCTCCTAGCCCTGTGAAATGAAGTAAATTATTTCTGTAGTAAATTCAATATATCAACATATATGATAAGATAGTTTCACATTAAAATGAAAAAAAATTTGTTTTATGAAAATGCATTTATGATCTAGATTACGTGATTATTGACAATTATCATAGTCAAATTAGCTCCCACGATATCATAACATGATTGGTTCAAATCTTGAAAACAAATTCAATTCTCTCAAGATCACAGATACAATATACTGATCAATCATAACTAACTTAAAATTTAAATCCAAGAATTTTCACCTATCACTTCAACCTTATAATACATACAGTAAGATTTCGAGCTATTTCGCCTAATCATTGAATGCCAACTTGATTCATGGAACCTTATCATCACTAATAAGTAGATTAGATAATATTGGTCACTACTGATTAATTAGTTAATAGGAGGAATGATAAATTGTTTGTCTCTTATGTAAATATTCGTATAAAAAAAGTTAACTTACCAATTAATGGTGAACCAGAATAATATCCATCTCTTATTTCTACATAATCATTAATACATGAGATACGATTGATACTTTTTTGATTTAATTCATATGCTTTATGTAAATTATTTAAATTATTTGGTGTATGTATAGAATCCTGTGTTATCGGTCCAGATATATCCATGTGTGTAAAATTTAAACGTATCCGTTCACCTGATGCAGCATTTATTCTCCATTGACAAAGTATAGGACTAGCTGATGTGAAACCTAAAGTAGATGATGAACTTGTTTTTGATAACTTAGATAAACGACTCATTGCTATCAATGGAACTTCTTCATTATTGAATGATCCTTTAAATGGATTATATGGAATTGTTTTTAACTGATAATTATTATCATTGACCATACCGATTAAACTATGATCTTCACCACCATCAATTGTATTACCATTTGTTAATGATCGATAAGGATGATACATATTCTCGTTATCATCAGGTAAAAGATGATCAACTGATATAGCATTTCCTAGTTGAATCGACTGCTCTAAACCTATCGGATCGGGAAATAATGAAGAGTTGGCATTACCACCGAAACGATCTTCTAATTTCCATGCCATTTGTGGTGAAGACAAACTTCCTACTGGTTCTAGAAGCGTACGACCACATGCTAAAATGTAGCGAAAAATATTTCGTTTAAACAAATGAACAAAATGGCACCAAAATAAATAAAATAGACCCTAATGTGTAACAAATAAAGGAGAATGAATATTTTGACGTGTTAATATTAATATTAACATAATACATAAAACCTAACTTAAATATTTTGAGTACCGATAGACAACAGAAACCTTTTAATAGTTAAATTGAATTGACTTTATAGTTTTATTAGC